GACACTATACAAAGACAATCAATAGACCAAAACTTACGCAAACTTGCAGAAACCGCAGGATTTGCCGATATCTACACGCAAGACTATAGCGGATATTTTAAAGACATAAAAGATTATATATATCTAAACGGCGAAAAATACCGTCCCCAAGATATATCACCAATTAACATTTTTAGCTTTGTTACACTCAAAAATGAGATCCTAGATTTTCTAGGATGGCCCTACTACATCTTAGAAAAATTGACTATTTTATACGCAATGTTTAACTTTATTGGATTTCTTTTCTCACTCTTAAAAGGAATCTACAATACATGTGCTATACACACACAAGTAAACAGACAAGCAAGCGTAGCACGCATACTCTTTGCAGGATTTTTTGGAATTTTTTCCACATCTATAAACAAAATTCTTTTAGACGCACAAATAAAAGAATATAACACAAAAATAACAACACGACAAAATACATACGACGAAGAACATAACAATGTCGACCCACAGCCAACGGCACCACAATTACCACCCCTACCAAATAACCATCCACTATCCCTAGCCCCGCGAAATTTTAGAAATTTAGCAATCACACATAATCCAAATTTTCGACTCACCACATCACAAAGTCCCGTCCAACATATAATGACACATCCATCACAAGATGATAATACTTATGAACAAATTATTGAACAGCCCCATACCACCGCTTTTCAATCTCAAAATAATAATTTTTTTAGCCCACGATGAGCCGCCAACTTGGATCACTCCATCGATCAAATTCCCATCCAACCAACCTTACCTCTTCAATCCCAATAATACCACTTTTTGCTTTTCCGCCACCCGATTTTCCATCTAGCAATGTAACATCAGGCATGAATTCCGACACTAACTCACAAATTTCAGTTTTATACTCCATTTCACAGCTAAATAACCCGAATATTGAAACCCCCGACGAATTTGCCGACTCAGAACCATCTCCATCCAATAATTTTCATAACCCTTCTCATTTTTCTCAACCTCCTTTTCAACCCATATTATCAAATAACCCTGACCCAATCACTCCTACACCCTCTTATGCTTCCCAAGTTACCCCAACCTACTCCTCATACCATTCTGACCAATCATCTCCAGACACCCCCCGAATCTCCCCAGAGCTAGACAATTTTATTACCCTCCAACAACAACCCTACCACCTTAACACCCCGACCATAAACCAAATCTCCTCCACTACAAATTCATCCAATCCCCCTACACCCTCTTCAAATTATACCGAATCATTAGCACCATCATCCACATCAACTGAATCCTCACTCAACACTAATAGAGCTTATCGCACTTTTAAAAGAAAGTTCCCCAACCATCCTTTCCCAGCAAAACCAGGAACAGCCCGAGAATACATCAACCACCCCCAACATACTAACACTAGAGAATTTTTAGCCATCACTTTACCCTCATTTCCACAATACACCTTAAACACCCCTCATGACGCTAACGAAACACGCAACTTTGTAGACGAATACGTTTTAATGCCCACTCTCTCTTGGACCTCATACTATCATTTCACTAACCCTCTTTGCTTACCTTTAACTAACACATCCATTGATATAGACCGAAACAAAGACATGCTATATCGACTAACTACACCACTCACCGCTAGACAATTTACTTACGTTGGATATAAAAAATCACTAAAAATACACACTGCACCTAGAGCTAACGAATACACACTAGAATACTATGATCACAACATCATCAGAGCTAACCAAGATCAATTCTTAGACGACGATCGCTTCGCTAACCCACAAATCACCGAGAAATTTTTCATCAAGACACCATATGTATTTACACTAAACATCTTCGACCGAAAGTTTGATCACATTATTTCAGAAGCACTAACAAGCACACAAGCGTACGAAAGTTTTAAAGAACGCTTCCAAATCTTTTCACTAACCTTTCATTTCCTTGCACCACACGAAAGAGATTTACACTGCTCACACGATATTATGTTGCGAACTAAACAAACACATACATACAGTTACTATCGTTTCATCCAAAATCACTTTGACCTCCACACACCCTCTAGACAACCACACCATCGCTTTCAATTCATCAATTCAAAATACACTTCACCGTATTTCCTAAATTTCACATATTGTATCAAAAATACTAACCTTCATGGTATTCTTCGTAATTATGACCCCATAACCCAAATGTATATTTTCTGCCCCATCACCAAGACCTTCAACGCAGAAGAATCCCGACCCTTCCTTATCCCGCACGAGTTTGTACAGCCTATAGAAATCCCCATTTTAGAATTCATCCACAACACTAAATTTAACCACAAGTTATATAACTTAATCCAAAACACACCTTATGAGTTTGCAGTAGGCACTGAAGAACTAACCACTATTAAGGCACTTCAATTGCTTTGGCCACTACTTCAAACTAAAAATATCATCCGCATCTTAGCTAAACTACTAACAACTTCAGAACTAATTCACGATATCTTCCCCCACGGTTTTTTCCCCGACGACTAACAGGTAAGTATGAACTAAATGAATATTACTAACTAATTAAAATATTGAAAAACTCACCATTCCTTATTCATGTTTTCTTTAGATTTTTAGCCTTCATCTTCAATCATCTGAAAAATTCACAAAAGAAAAATAAAAAATAGCAAACTTCTTCAAAACTATTTAAAACCCTATTTAACTTTTGCACCAACAATTAAATAAATATAATACCAATGCAGTAAATTAATTTATAAAATTTTCCCCTAAAAGCAGTAAATCTACATATGATGAAAATTTGTATCTTAAAATTCCCCCATTACTAGCAGTAAATTTCCAAATTCTATGCAGTAAATTAATAAAATGCAATTGCAGTACTAACCTTTTGATATTTTCATTCATTCGCACAGAAATTCTATCCACACTCGCACAGCTCGCCCACGAAGAATTGTTTAAAATAATGAATTTCAGTTTCAAGTTTTCACACTCAACAACTCTAACAAATAATAACAAGTTTCAAACTTTCCTTTAACCCGGTTGGAAAGGAATCATATACTAAACAAAACTAACCAACGCAGCTTACTAAATACCACAAATCATAAAATAACAGCATGACTAAGAAAAGGAAACCAACGGTACCCAAACCGGATTAACCCAGTTTAAAACTGGATAATTTATTCTTTTGAAGACTATTACAAAGTCTTAGAAAGAAATAATAAAACACAAAAAAGTCAAAAGACAAACCCATACCACAAACAATTTGCTTTTTGGAAAAAGTACATAACCAACAAAACATAAGTAAAACCACAACAAACCCAACATAAAATGTTGTCACATAACAGGACCCCTCATAAAAACCGCATGAAATCATACTCCCACACCTGGCCTAACCCACCAGGAAAGGACGTCCTGAGCATGCTCTATAGCCGGCCTAACCCACCGTGCTACATCCACGCTTTGTGACCACACCTTTATTTTTAATAAGAGCTACTCAAGGGTGAGTAACTCTTCAAAATAACCGAACTAAAACAAAAAGCTTTTGTGAAAACAACTAACTAAAATCATAATTAAAAAATATTAAATTAATAAAAGTTTTATAAAATGTAAAATCACATGATGCAATATATAGATCAGAATACAACACCAAGGACGAACATCAAAAGACAAGACGACCTCACTACACTCGAGAGAGAATGACCAACTATAATCGATATGCCGCTCACAATCACAACTCAAAGGATTTAGAGTACGACTTGACCTCGCAGAAAAGGACTTCATTGAACTAGACCAATGACCACCTCGATGTTCAAGTATACGTACAGATCCGAGTAACCAGGCATCCCCTCCACGCACAATCTCCACGCCATTCCCGAGCTAGATCAAACACAAAAGAAGTTCTCTCCGAAGAACAGAAAAACCTGACATAGCCAACCATTCTGAAACCAGAATTGATGCTGTTGCAGAGACTCAGTCGTTGTCACAAGAAGAACACAACGTCTTGTGTCCTCAATTCCAGATCCCTGGAACTTCCTTAACAAAAAGGAAACAAAAGAAAAATGATGTTCGCCAAATACCAACGTCCATCATCCATCCTTGAACTACAAAAGAACTGTTCTAAAAAACTCTGTAAAACCCGGATGGGTGGAACCTGATCTAAACTATATTTTATGATTGGATAAATTAAATGTTTTACCAATGTAAAGTATTTAATATTAACCAATCATGATCCATCTAACTAACAACCCACTTATTTGTAAGTGCTGAAGTTACTTGTAATTTCAGCACCAGAGAGATTTGAATTTAACTTAGAAATTAGTTGGACTCTCCCGAGCACTTCAACAGCCGCAATAAACCAGTATACCCTAGATCTATTGAGCCTAGCAGAGACTAGTTAAACAACCTGAGACTAGATAGTATAAGAGTAAGATTAGGATCGGTATTAGACTAAGAAGTTGCACGAATCTATCCGGCCGAAAATAAGATAGCGTGACGAGCAGACGGTGTACCCTATCCGAAATTACTCTATGAGTTACACTCCAGTCCTAACTCATTACTATCATTTCTACTATTTGCACGACCAGTTATACAATGACTTAAGAATTTACATTATTTGGGCTGAATAAGTAAAAAAAAACATTTTTTCTCATGATTATGTAATACTAGTATAGCATTATTCAGCTAGTGTTTCTACATTGGCTCATGTTAAAATTCTCGCCCCTAAATAAACCAGATGAACAATCTCCCTCTAAAATTAAATGTCTTATTCAAGCAGTAAGGCCTGCTTGTACTATGCTCAAATCTGATTGGTTGAAAAATTTGACTTTTGACCAAGTGAACAACCCAAGTGAACTCCCCCCTTAATTGATTTAGGGGGAGATAGTGCACTTGGTCCTTTAAATTAAATCCTCGAGACAGTCATTATAAATAAAACACTAACTATTTAAATATCCCGATATATCTAATTAAGTATATGTTTTGAACTGCTGTTGTGTGTTGTAGAAGTGCGGTGCAGTGTGGTGATGTGGTGCGGCTGTTGCACATGAACACGGACAAGTACCTCCACTCACACCTCTTTTCAGCCCCCCTCACTGACTCACACCAGGAAGTGAGTGCCTACGAGAGAACGGACACAGGTCAGTATAGGTCAAGGGGGGAGTGTGTGTGCTGTTCTAACTAATAGTAATACCGATTACTTGTAATATGACTAAAAAGTGGGATATTATACTTGATATTGTTCTCGAACGGATTTAATAAAGCCTTGATGTCTTAGAAAATTTTCATTATCTAAATATTTGGTCACGAAAATCAGACATCAAGATTTTTGGAACCTCGAAGTCTGATTTTTTTTTTAAACAAGAGAATTCTGAACCAATTCATTTACTACTGTGTTTGAAGCACGCATCAGGTCGCCGCATATTTAATCACCTATTACGGTTTGAGTTCAATTATAATATCGTCACTTCAATTATAATATCGTTCAATTATAATAGGGTTTTTTATTCAATATTTGATCGCGCATATAGGTTGAAAGAATTAAATTTCTCCAAACAAGTAAACATGACATCGCACAAAATACTTTGTGACAAATATACAAACACTTAAAACATTCATGTTGAACTTTCATAGAAACACTTCAAATCAGACATCCCGTCAAGTTTAATGGTGCTAGCACGTCGAAGCAATTTTGTGAATCTAATGAGACAAACCCAGGAAAAAACTTCGGAAGAGAGCTTTGAAATGAGGGTTTGAGTTGCTTAATTGACAGAATAGCGGCTGCAAATACGGATTTTGACAGCAAAGAAAAGACACTTCTTGAATAGAAAGTGTCTTTTTTGCAGCAAACTTGAACCAAATAGTAAATATGGAACCTCGGTTGACCTTTTCTCAAAATATTCTCATCAAATAACTTATACTGATAACAATTTAGTTTTCAAGCCAGAAATTCATTAGCATATTTTATATGAAAAATTTTGACAAATTAGTTCGACTTGGGAGAATATTAGAAAGGCAGCAACGGGGGAATTTAAGTGATCATCTTTAAACACAGACGAGTAGTAGACAGAATTGTATGCGATGGCGTCAAGTATTTTCGTACTCTAATGGAATTTATTTTGTTTTTTTTTATAGAATTTGAGAAACTTACCAGAACGGGAAAGCTGGTTGCTGTGCAAGTAGCACTAAATCATCCGACAAAAAAAATTGCGTAAATAGGGTAAATTAAAAAAAAACTTCGACAAAAACTAAAATAAAAAATTGTTTTTCTTCTATCATAATTAGATGTCGATTTTTAAATCATGAAATGCGATTCATTTAGGTAACAATCGTGGACTAATAAAAGAAATACGGCTGCGCATTAATTGGAATTATAGATTTTTTTTCAGGTTAATTTGCTGAACAAATTGACTTGCACCTGTAGTTATAGCTGCATTAAAGTAGCATCATGCTCAGTTTTTTAATCTTTATACAGATGCAAGTTGTTGTTACTACAATTGATAGACATTTTGATTTTTTCTTTTTTATTTGTAAAATTAATGGCTCCTATTTTTACCCTTGGGATAAGCAAGGGTATTGCAGTCGGGTACTAGACTTTTTACCCTGTAAATAACTTTGTTCACGGGATCTCCAATTTTAAGATTTCCATTTCTAGCCAATTTGCACGTTTATCAGCTGTAGTTTAACAGCTGGTCTAGAGCTGCTGAAGTTACAGATGATTGAAATTTTTAGATGTAAATTGATTTTTTGTGTCGGTTTAGTTGATTTCAGTTTTTGTCGGTGTACTTGACGGGTTTCTTTTTTTTAATTCAAATTATCTGTTAGCAGAGAATTGTTTCGTTTTCAAATTTCTGAAATATTTTTTTTTGTAATAAGGAATTAGTTTCAGTTTTAATTTGTTTTGTGTGTTTTTGGTTTGACAATTTTCATTTGAAAGTGATTCAAGTGTATGACATAGCGTATTGTTTAAATTTGAAGTTGTATGTTTTGTCATCGAAGAAATGTCGCACGCGATTCATGAGTTTGATTCTTCAGTGCTGATTTTTTTTGAAAAAATGAATGGTCGAATTTTTTTTAGCTGGGGGGCGTCTTTTTTGAATTTTGTTTCTGTTGTACTCCAGTCCTCTTATCTTTGCGTTCCAACTTCGTATTTGATAAGTTTGATGTAATTGGGTTGTTGTTGATAGGTTTTCAGAGTTCTTAAGATATATTTTTAAAAAATTTCAGGAATTCTAAGTATTTCTTTCTGATATAATTTTTTTTGTTAAAATTTTCTGGTATAATTTTTTGATTATTTTTTCATTTTTATTCGGATGCATGCTTTTTGTTTTAAGTAGTTTTGGTTTTGAGAATTTTAATGTGAACTTGATTCAAGTTGATGGCATAGCATGTTGTTTTATGATGTCAAAACTGCATCAAAAAAAAAACGATAGATTTCCAGAAATTAAGTTTTTGCAAATTTGGTTTGTATGTGTTGTCTAGGAATGAATGTCGCACTCGATCCAAGAGTTGAATTGTTCTCGCGGAATTAATTTGAAAAAAAGAACTGACGGGTTTTTTAGGAGTCGATGAACGTTTTATATATATAGATCGTTAGGTCGTGATGCTTTTTTAATGTTTTTTTTTTCAGAAATCTTAATTTAATTCGACTTAAGTCGCGAAAAAGAAGACAAGCTACCTTGTCCAATAGCGAAGTGCAAAAAACGTGAATTACGTCGTTTTATGCGAATGTGTCAATCATAAATAATTGTTGTGTATTTTTGTGTGTCTAGGTGACAATTGGAAAGTGGTGTGTGACTCAGACTTGTGGAGGAGAGACGGAGTGGTCAAGTTCCAACATATCGACACGGGAAGGTAACTACTTCTATACTGGTTACATATCAGTATTTAGACAGCCGCGTATTCAGACTCGTCAGTATTTAGACAAATACTGTTTCAACCAATCAGAATCGAGACAAAGAAGAAATTAATAAATAATTATTATTTATTTTGGATTATTTATGTCTTTTCTCGATTTTGATTGGTTCATACAGTAATACTGTTTCAACCAATCAGAATCGAGACAAAAAAGAAATTAATAAATAATTATGATTTATTTTGGATTATTTATGTCTTTTCTCGATTGTGATTGGTTCATACAGTAATACTGTTTCAACCAATCAGAATCGAGACAAAGAAGAAATTAATAAATAATTATGATTTATTTTGGATTATTTATGTCTTTTGTCGATTCTGATTGGTTCATACAGTATTTGTCTAAATACTGACGAGTATGAATACGCGGCTGTCTAAATACTGGCTGCACTCCTTCTATAATACTACTACTACTACTACTACTAGTACTATTAGTACTACTACTACTACTACTACTACTAGCACTACTACTACTACAGCTAGAACGGGGGCTATTCTCTTGCGCGAAGGACCGAATGAGCGAAAAAAACTAGTGAGCGAAAGACCAAAAACAAAATTAGCCGAAAGTCAATTTTTAAAAAGAAATAATTGCCATTCAATTAAAAGGAATTAAATGAAGCGATATTTTGCAAGTTTCATAACGAAACCCTTGAAATATAAAATTTGTTCCAATTCGGCGGCGGTCAGTGACAATTTGAAATTTTTGCATATTTCTGTCGTTTTTGGCTAATATCAATACTCAGTCCCTGGAAATATTTACTTTCTTTCCAAATTTTAGATTACTGAAATCTGATTGGCTGATTTTTATTTTCGCGCATTCGGTCCTTCGCGTATGAGGGATTCCACCGCTAGGACAGCCATGGCTGAGTGTGTTCGATGCTGTTCAGCGCCAAAATTATTGGGCCTTCCAACCCTCGTAAGATTTCTAGTTTTGTTCCAATTTATCCTATGCCAGAATAAGTTCAATTAGATGAATTTCGAGGTCCCTCTCAATGATGAAAATTAACCCTATTACCCTGTGCAACAAAAGAACTGCAATTTCATTTGACTTCTCAAAATAGGCTCCAAATGATTATTCCTGAGCAAGTGTGCACTATTTAGCAATGATTCGTTTTCAACCATCTACATATGTGACGTTGCGATTGTTCGATGTGTTCAAGTTTTGCGAGTTGAGTTGTCGCGATGTTAATTACACAAGTTACCTCGCGAGAGTTGTGTTATATTACAAATAAGCTTTTGTCTAACACAACTTGCAAATACAAAAGTGCTTATTTTGTGGCACTTTTCCTGCATAACACTGGCAATTCAATGGCTTATGTTGTATCTGCTTTATTAGTGGATAGTTACTTATGTATTGTATCTGCTTTATTAGTGGATAGTTAATTATGTATTGTATATGCTTTATTAGTGGATAGTTAATTATGTGTTGTATCTGCTTTATTAGTGGATAGTTAATTATGTGTTGTATCTGCTTTATTAGTGGATAGTTAATTATGTGTTGTATCTGCTTTATTAGTGGATAGTTAATTATGTATTGTATCTGCTTTATTAGTGGATAGTTAATTATGTGTTGTATCTGCTTTATTAGTGGATAGTTAATTATGTATTGTATCTGCTTTATTAGTGGATAGTTAATTATGTATTGTATATGCTTTATTAGTGGATAGTTAATTATGTGTTGTATCTGCTTTATTAGTGGATAGTTAATTATGTATTGTATCTGCTTTATTAGTGGATAGTTAATTATGTGTTGTATCTGCTTTATTAGTGGATAGTTAATTATGTATTGTATCTGCTTTATTAGTGGATAGTTAATTATGTATTGTATATGCTTTATTAGTGGATAGTTAATTATGTGTTGTATCTGCTTTATTAGTGGATAGTTAATTATGTGTTGTATCTGCTTTATTAGTGGATAGTTAATTATGTATTGAATATGCTTTATTAGTTGATAGTTAATTATGTGTTGTATCTGCTTTATTAGTGGATAGTTAATTATGTATTGTATCTGCTTTATTAGTGGATAGTTAATTATGTGTTGTATCTGCTTTATTAGTGGATATTTAATTATGTATTGTATATGCTTTATTAGTGGATAGTTAATTATGTGTTGTATATGCTTTATTAGTGGATAGTTAATTATGTGTTGTATCTGCTTTATTAGTGGATAGTTAATTATGTGTTGTATCTGCTTTATTAGTGGATAGTTAATTATGTGTTGTATCTGCTTTATTAGTGGATAGTTCATTATGTGTTGTATCTGCTTTATTAGTGGATAGTTAATTATGTGTTGTATCTGCTTTATTAGTGGATAGTTAATTATGTGTTGTATCTGCTTTATTAGTGGATAGTTAATTATGTATTGTATATGCTTTATTAGTGGATAGTTAATTATGTGTTGTATCTGCTTTATTAGTGGATAGTTAATTATGTATTGTATCTGCTTTATTAGTGGATAGTTAATTATGTGTTGTATCTGCTTTATTAGTGGATAGTTAATTATGTGTTGTATCTGCTTTATTAGTGGATAGTTAATTATGTATTGTATATGCTTTATTAGTGGATAGTTAATTATGTGTTGTATCTGCTTTATTAGTGGATAGTTAATTATGTGTTGTATCTGCTTTATTAGTGGATAGTTAATTATGTGTTGTATCTGCTTTATTAGTGGATAGTTAATTATGTATTGTATATGCTTTATTAGTGGATAGTTAATTATGTGTTGTATCTGCTTTATTAGTGGATAGTTAATTATGTGCTGCTTGTTGTTTTAGCTTTCTGGCCATAACTGGCAGCCAGTATGGTCGACCAATCAAAGGCCAGTACGAAGTGGCGGCCATGAAAAGAGACTCGAGGAAGTGTGGCTGGAGAAGCTCAGAGGGAGTGTTTGTTAAGGAGTCAGATGAGCCTCTCAAGTACAATGAACAAAGAGAAGCAGATGAAGATAACGAAGAGGAACACGATGAGCTGTGATTGGTCAATTATTTTGAGAGATTTTGATTGGATGAGATTCATCTGAGAAGCTATTGAAACTTGTTCACGTTGCTTTCATGTCCAATCGTGCTATTCTAAAAAATATTATAAAATAAGAGATAATTATGGTAGCTTGGCGCAAGAGACGACAGGACATTGAGACGACATGACATTAAGACGTTCAATGAGCATTTAAACTTATAAAATGAACTAGTTTGAGTTTAAGCTGTTTCTATTTCTCAGAAATACAATTGAAGAATTGTGGATAATGTCGTCTTAAAGTCACGTTGTAAACGGTTGTCGTCTTCAAAGATGTCGTCTTATCCGCCGGACACCATGCTAATGATAATGATGATGAACACCAGCGGATTTGGGGGAAGGGGGCGGACGCTCTCTTTTTGGCTGACGGACCTTGAAACTTTTCTAAAAGAGCCTTTGGCGCCCAAAAAAAAACAAATTTTGAGAGGAGCGCGCGCCGATAAACCGCAAGTCTTTGGTCAAAATTTTCTTAAAAGTGCCCAAAAACGCGTTTTTTGGCCTGTTTTTTTTCTCGGAAATTTGCTGGTGGCACAGAAATTTTGGTCGAGCTAAAAATAAGTCGTGAAAGTTTTCGAATTCTTTTTTTAAAATCCGCAACACCCCCCCCCCTCGAGAAAACCCTAGATCCGCGCCTGATGATGAAGAAGACAATTTATCGCTCTGTTCGTTTAAGAGATTTACTCATGCTCGTGTGTTTGGTATATTGGTATCATGTGTGTTTTGTTGTCAACCTGTAATGTTTAAAACTACAAGTATTCCAAATAGCAGCAGTTTTTGTACATATTTGAAGCCTCATCTCAAAGTCTGAAAATGAATTGGTGCAATTTATATCAAATTTTCATTATCTTGTCCGTTGTACTATTTTTTGGGCAAATGATTGATTCAAAAGTTTTTTTTGTTGTTTGGTTTTCCTTCCTTTAAAAACATGTAAAAGCGAACCTATTAATATTGTGGTTATAAAAAACCGACTACAATTCAATTCTTTGAGAATTGGTTTTTGAAGTCATTGCTGTTAAACTTGACCCGCTCTTGATCAGCATGATTATAGGAATAAACATTAGTGTCGGTTTCGTTTCAGTTCAATTTAGGAAAAAGGGAGAGTTTTTAGGAATAAAGGAAAATTTACGGCGAGATTAAACGAAGGCTTGCTTGACTATTGGCACCAATCAAAGGTATTAGATGATGATTTGTCTTTCTACGGGTGAATTAATGTGTCAGTTAAGGTCTTTCTACGGGTGAATTAAAGTGGCAGATTGCGGAAACTGACTATGATATGTTGCTATAAAAGTCACTGACTACAAAACCAAACGAGTTCCGATAAATAGTATACAAAGTATGTTAGATGGCTGATGGATGGTCGTAATTGTCCTCAAGGTGGGACCGTCTACGGCGGAATGGATGACATCCCCCCTCCCACGGTCTGTCCTGCATTGACTAGGGCCGGGGGCAAATAAAATTAAACAAGCCGAAGGGCCAACAAGCCGAAAGTAAGATTACCATTCGAAGTAGCCAAAAATCAATTTTGTTATGCTCATGGTTGGCTTGTTAAATAACAACAGTTAAAGTAATCGTGTTTTTTACTGTTAGAAAACTTCGAATTTTTAACGTATTCAAACTATTTGAAAAAATTTGCATTTTTTGTCTGTTTTTCCATTTTTCAATTGCTAATTTGTTAATTGGTCAATGATTTGCGGTTAATCCCCCAATTTTTATCTCGGTTATATTCACTGGGATAGCTTGTGGCACTGCTAAAAAATGTTTGATAAATATTGAATGATTTTGCCTTCACGCAGTTTAATTTCTTAACTTTTTTTAAAAATCTTCACGTAAAATACTCTTGAAAAAACTAACTAACTTTGATTGTGTAATTTAATAACAGATTGTCATAGTTGTGGTACAATTTGTAAGTAATTCTGTTGTAGTTTCGGCTTCGAGATTTTGCGGTTTGTTGAGCATTTGTTGTCTAAATTTCAGACATACACAGACGACCTCGACATACACAGTTAAGGTCAAGTTAATTGAGTTTTTTTTTCTAATTTGACAAATGTGATTTTTGCTGACGCAAGGGTTCGGTACTAATGCATAAAATAATGAAGTGTCCACATTAGTCTGTGAAGTATCAAAAAGCTTTGAGAGGTCATAGCTTGAAAAGCATCAGAAGTACCTTTTGATGTCAAATAGAAAATGAACAACGTTGAAAATAGAAACAAAATTGTACCAAATTAAAAGATCAAGCGACAGAGAAGGGTAAAATACATTTGGTTTAAATAAGAACATTTTACACGAGCGAACAGCGGCTCTTTTTCCTCTAAACCTCCCTAAACCTACCCCCCCCCCCCCCGAGCCCCCTCCGCCAACTCATAAATATCAAGAAATATCAATTTTTGTAAACTACTTATACATTGTCATAATGTAATGGAACTTGGCATGGTGAACAAACTAACTATTGTGAACAGATTTGTTGTTCATACTTTACATCGTAACATCACCCATTTAGCCGTAATAACACACAAAACAACTGGAAAAAGAGGAAATTTGTGGTTTGGTGGAAATGAAAAAGCTCTTCTTATATGCATACAGTATTATTTAGAAGTTCACAATTTTCTAGCGTAACAAGATTGTTGACTAACGAAGGACATGCAGTGTTTTTTTGTTCTCTGTGACCTCAGAATTTCAGGAAAATTCGAGACATTTTCAATGGCGGAAAAACTAAGCGGATGAAGTTATTAAGTATCAGTACATTTGTCATCACCCCCCACACCCATCGCACTTTCTTAGTGAATCGAACCCCTCAACGAAAAGATTCTTTCCTCTTTTTTTTTTTACTATTGTACGGTAACCATTGAAGCTGACTATTTGGTTAAAAAAACACGATTCAACACAGGTAAAACTTTCCTCAAAGTGTCTGAAAACATCGTCATTGGCCTGTCTTTTTGGGCTTACGGCGTGTTTTCTCAAAACAGGACCATTATAGTGTTTTCTGAGAGCTCGGAAAAAATCCTTGATTTGAGCCTGCTACTGATGACTCGGTGCTATAAATAGTGTGCGTTTTGTTTGTTCCAGATTGAAATGGCGTCCTCGGCTATTCGCTCTCTCGGTCGACTGAACCCAACCACAACTGCGCTCTTTGTGTGTGACATGCAAGAGGCCTTCAAGAAGAGCATCCAGTACTTCCCTGAGATTGTAACCAACACTGTTCGGATGGTGGAGGCGGCTAAACTGCTGCAGATGAGGATTGTTGTCACGGAACAGTATCCTAAAGGTGGGTGGGAAAAGATAGGAAATTGAGTCTTTCCCATTATAGCCCACCCCCCCCCCCCCTACACAGCGATTTTAACAATATGGCGGTGCTATAATTTACTGGGGGCAGGGCTATATCCAATCTTGTTTTGCTATTCAGCCGGAGGCCTAACCCACAAATTAATAATAATGTTGACTAAGCTGTTGCTATCATACAAGAGCTCACTTTGTAAATTGCATGGAACGTGAGTTTTGAACCAGTAACCTTGTGGTTGCTGGCTACCACTAATTTGGATGTGGCACAAGGCCACATGCATTTTGTGATATAAATCTGAAATCCCCATTGCATTTAATTTTGAACGAATTGAAATTTCACTTTTTCGAAATGTGTTGTTTTCAGGATAATTTTTTTTGTTTTCTCGATGTATAGCAGGTTCTTGAAAAATTTGTCGGAAATCAAAAACTTTTTTAAAAACTAGAAATAAGAAAGTTACTAAAAAGCAATAATTTTTTCTGCTTCGTTGAGCTCAAAAACGTCTTCCCAATCCCAACTGTCTATAATCAGTTCATTCTCAAACTTTGTATAATTTTTGAAGCTGTCATTTTGTTCTAATAGCTGTACCAGCACCGAAATGAAGAATATCACAAGCTCAGCGATGCCTTGAGTTAATTGTTTTGAATAATCTAAGGATTTTTCTTTGCGATAGCAAGTGTCTTGTAATCGGGAACTAGACTTTTTTCTGTAAGCAACTTTTCTTACATCTGAAGTGGAAATTAAAGTTCCTTTAATAGTGAATCTTAACAACTTTGATACTTTTTACCACTTGGCCTAAAGGTAACGTGGTTTTTTCTGTACCTTAAGGTCGTCTGTGGTTTGAGTTCCGGCCGGGCCTTAATTTTTTTCAGTATCTGTGAAATTATAAATGATTAATAAATCAGGTACTTTGTCTTGTAAAAGTTCAATGTTTTAAAACCTAATCGCTCAAAAAAATTTTTGTCAACAATTTCTTGCTGTTTTTGTTTTCGGCTCAATGAACGCTTTGTCGGAAAATGGCCGCTCGTTAAAAAAAATGTTAGATTTGTTTGACGCTGGTTGCTGTGTTTCTTACTTTTTTTCTGAATTTTTTTCTATTTTCGAAACTGTTTTTGTTCATTTTTGTTATTGCTGTTTGCTGTCTTATTGTTTATTCGCTAGTTTGCAATGCTTTGCTTGCGTTGTATCGCAAGTGTTGCAAAGCCCCGTTTCCGCTCTGTATTAAAATTCAACCTTGAGTGCTTATGATATATTACAAGGAGAATTTTTTAAGGCAAGTTTGAATATGCCTCAAACATTCGTTTGAACATTCGTTTGAACATTCGTTTGAACATTCGTTTTTTCTTGTGGTATGAAAACTGCCGGAACTATATCGGCTCATTCGAGCGTTTTCGTGGTTGCTTGTTATTTATATCATCATGCCTGGAAAAACTGGTAGATAGGTAGTACTACTGGTACATGATATATCTAGAATACAAACCATTTTTTGTGTAATTATCGAACTTAGGTATTTATTTTCTGCTGATGATTTTTCGGCTTCATGATTGTCCGCTCAAGCTCTGTCGGTTTAGTTTCCAAATTATGTAGTCCTATTAGAATTAGTTACTCTTATAGTCTTTCTGGATCTTTATGGGCATTACATGAAATTTTTTCCAATATGATTTTTTGACAAAAACGATTGGCTTATTGGCTGTCGGCTGTAATTCTGTCGGCTTCTTCATGGATTTTTTTCCTAAAATGTCCGGTAGTACTGTTGAAATCGTTACGAATCTGGAACCAGTTTTTGAATTTCCAAAGTCAACCCCAAAAGAACCTTTGAAAATCTTGGATAAATTTAAACGGGAAAAAGTATTTGTTTTTTTTTAATTTTGTTTTTCGTTTTTCCACTTTCAGTTGTAACATCGTTCGAAGTCCTGTTTGCCTATTTTTGAGCGTCATTTTGTTTTCATCCAGTAATTGTGGTATCACAAGTGGTACAGAGCTCAGCTTCGCTTCCGTGTAGAAAACTATAAATAATAAATTATATTTCAAGTATTCTTGTTAGAATGTGTGAGAAATCTCAAATATTTTAGCTCAATGGCTTTCTTTAAGAACCAGAATTGCTTGATTAAAAACTTCCCGGTTGTTTCTTATGCTTATTTTTTTTATCATAATGTAAAGTGGAGACGCAATTATTGATGACGCTCTCTGATTTTCATTTAGTGTCCTTTAAATCAAGGACATTAAATCAGTGTTTTAATTAACATGTTTATCCCAAATGTTTTAAGGATTCAACAGCAGCGGTATGTCATTATCTTCTAAATTGTTAATATCTATGTGCACTTTTAATTAAAACTCTGAATATCTAAAATGTTCTCAAAGTTTCAAGTCTTGTGAACAATCTCTATTGAAAATGTGGTAAAATTCGTTCTAGGGTTCAATATTATCGAATATGTTTAACCATTTTATTAGCTCGTTAATGGGCGAATTTGAAAATAAGTTAGTGGTTTCATTTGAAACTAAAATTTGAAGCACGCAGTTTCACTCTTGTGCAGAATGTAAGCGCAGTAGAGCAAGCGTTCGCTCCTTGCAGACGTCGCTCTAAGTTGATATTTTCGTTGCGTTTCTGCTAAATTTTTTGACTATCCGGGCTCGAGTGTTATTTTTTTTCGGCCATCCGAGAATTCGGCCAGTTGGTACGTCATTCAGCCAGGTGGTTTTTTTCTGCCATCCGAGCATTCGGCAAGTTTGCAGAGATATCAAATCTTTCCAATTTTGGTACCTGCTTAAGCAGGGAGCGGAGGAAATATAATATTTGGGTCGTATTTTTTTCTGGTCCCTAAAAGTAACCAAATATTTTTTACAGAAAGCTTAAATTTTCAACTTAAAGACACATAAACTAACACTTTTTGAACGTTTTTCATCCAATTTTTCGCGACTTTTCAGACCAGTCATCCATTTTTTGCTTCCGAATGCAAAAAAGTTTATCAACTTCACGGGACGTTACCCAGACATGAAGGAATTTTCAGGGTTTATCATAGCAAAACTCAGTTGGGGTTCTTTTTTAAAACTTTTTGCTGTTTATCAGGGCATATTGAGGCGACTTTATTTTTTCTCGACTTTTTTTTTTAATTGTGAGCACAAAAGGTCAACGAAAGAGTTTTTTCCCCTTCCTGATAGAAAGTAGAAAAATGTGTGCACTTTTGTCGATGAAATGTGATCACATTTGCTTCTAAAGCATTAGTTCTTAAGATTTCACAGTTTCTTCAATCGTTTATTTTGAAGAAAATTATAGCTAAATTCTTGGTAATGCGTTTTCAATGTCGCCCATTATATAAATGTATTCTTGGAAAAATGTGTTCTTATTTTAGGATTAGGCCACACAGTGGATGAATTGAAATCTGCGATGCCCGAATCCACTACCTACTTTGACAAGACTCTTTTCTCCATGTGCATTCCAACTGTCATGGACAGTTCTTGTTATTCGTCCACTGCGTCTTCCGAGAAGCTGACAGGTAGAAAATCAATTTCTAAATTGAAAGCAATATTACAATAGGTGACAACTTTGAAAAGTGTTAGATTAGTGCATGTATTTAACATGAGAACTATAATGCATAATATGATAGTCTCAATTTCAGTCAGTTTTACATAATAATAATAATCAATTGGCGTTTCTGTGATTCGCAGAGGATCTATGAAAGGCTTTGCAGACTGTCATAGCTTAGTACGTTTCTCTTATTTCCCCACATTCCAGACTGAGTTATTTTGTTGAGCGAAGCTCTTTTTTGCTGTTTTTTTTTGCGCCTAGAACATTATTGTGGTACCAATATTGCAGCCAATCCTATTGCACATTTTGTTATTTTGGTGTTCTTGGATAGTCAGTTATATTTTTGTTATGAGTTGTGTAAATAATAATCGAGTCTGCTACCTTCTTGAAAACCAATTTTTCAATTATAAGATTTCTGTTCTCAATGACTTAGTGCTCGAAAAGGTTAAAAAGTTGCACGTAATGAGCATTCATATTTCGGTCCTAGTGATTTGTTTGGTTTTTTTTTCTCAGGAAAAAATTTGTTCACGCTCATTTTGATTTTTTTGCTGTTTGAATTTTGATTTTTTTTAAGTTCAGCTCATTTCCTTTGCTAGAAGGAAGGAGCACTCCACTATCAAACAGCATAATTGTAAAGGTCACGAAAAACGTGATCGATTTCTTGTTTCGAAATAGGGAATTTAATATTTGATTTTCCAGCAGAATAAAATGTTCTCTTAATGATCCTTTGCAATTTCATCAGAAAGCGTCAAACATAAAGTGTGGGTGAAATTCAAAGAGCTTTAAGGGCATATGTTTTAAATCATGTTTTTATGTTTTCTTCAAAATTCGCAAGTTGATGTTTATTTTGTTTTCTTGAGTTCATTGCTTTTCTCAAACTGTAAGCTGTCTATGTTTTTTAACTCGCCAAGTTTATGAGAAACAAAATAACGGGAAAAAAGGTAGAAAACGAAAACATTGATGCTATAAAATTGTGCGGTTGTTTGTATATTAAGATGACCTTCAGATGCCTTTTTAATGAAAATGCCGAGTATATATTTTTGTGATTTTGAAGTAGTTAGTCGTTGATAATGTTTTGTTCGTTTTCGCCTTCGACAGACGTGGTCCTGACGGGGATCGAAAGCCATGTGTGTGTGCTGCAGACGACTCTGGACCTGATAGAAAAAGATATCAATGTACACATTGCTGCAGATTGTGTCTCCTCCAGAAGTTTAATTGACAGGCGAGTGGCTGAAATGTTGTTGTTTTTCTTTACCTTGACCCCGTGGTGTAATTTCCTTGAAGGGGGGTGTTATTCATTTCGCATTAGCCATTCCAATCTCGAAGATGTCGACCACATTGGGACTCCTCCAACCATGACCGAAGTGGGGTTTGATCACACGACCCTCGTGTTGAGAGACACTTGCCTTACCCCACTAGGGCATGGCAGCTCTTCGACGGTCATTGAAGTGGGATGCATAGTTGTCACACAAGTTAGCTTGCAAGTGTGGTTTTAAGCGATCGTTTTTTTAAATTTCAATGTGCCCACTTTAGTGACAACGTTGGTGCAAAAAGTGTGCATTAATTGATCAGCATGTTAAGTACCAAAAGTGATATATTTTACATATACTTAATATTTACAAGGATGACATAATATTTACATCTTAATTGGATCAATTAGTTTGCATCAATTCAATATTTGCATTGATTTCTGAACCGGATTAGTTCGCCATATTGTTACACGCTAATAGAAAATTGCAAATTTGCTAGCCCCATATTTTCAAGAAAAATAATCCCGAAAAATATATATATTTTAAAATTTGAGCTCAGAGTATTGATATCTTTCAAATAGTCTGAAATAACTCTTAATCACAAATTTTTTATGAAAAAGTAAAATGGGTCTGAATATGAAAACGGCCCGAGCAGGAGTAATGTTTTTTTTTAAGTCTGTCATCCTTGTAAATACTAAAGTAATAGCAAAAGTAGCCATTCATCTGTCTGTAAGATTTTGGCTTTAGCTCTGAAATTTTATTTTTTGATGGGGATTATTTTGGTAATACATGCAAGTTTTTTTTTCAAGATATGGTAATTAAAATTGTAGCCATCTTTTCATGTGTATCTTGCAATTGCTTTACAAACACATTAGGGGGAATCCCCCCGATGCCAGAATGACCGAAAGTTATAACCAATCAGAATTCAGAATTAAAATCCTCATTAGAAATAAAGTGGAACTCAGTCAGTTTTGAGCTGTTTTAAGAAGGTCGACTGGTCGAGAAAATTTGCACATTTGTTCCACTTCATAGAATACCCCCAAAAGAAAATTGAATGGCAGCGTTTTCAGGCTGATTAGCGTGAGCTTTGTTGTCTACTTTAAAATTAAAAATGTCTGCTAAAAGTCCGATGGGGTTTTTCATCTGATTAATTTTCCTTCTTCGTTTCTTTGACCGATGTTTGCAATCCTGAGACCGTTGCTAAAATAGTATATGGAAGAACAAAAGGAAGATTCAATTTTTATTAAACTGAAATGAACAGATGGTATTTTTCTGACTACGAATGTTTCGAGGAATACCTTTCTCAGTGTATTCCGAGTGAACTTTTGTCTCCCCAAAATCAAACTTAAATTTCAAGATTAAAACTGATGTTTTTACTGATAATTTTGGGTGTCGTAAAAATACTATATTCAGTTTGGCAGACTATATTTCGAAGTTGCTTACGCTTTGCGATTAGCAAGCTTTATCAAATCGGAATGGATATTTTTATCAGGTTAACAACTTGTTTTTTTTTAATTGAATCATTTATGTTGCTATCGTTTGCTGCTATCAGTTGCTGTCTCTTGAAACTTCAGTTTTAACAGAAATTTTTTAATTATTAATTTATTTCCAAATTCAAAGAACTCAATCAATTAAATCCATTGATTGCAGCCTACTTAGGAGCATCAACAGTCCAAAGCCCCTGATTTTACGCTTGCCGCTGCTTTTTATGTCACTGCTTCTTAGGGACGGCCCCGGTCTCCGATGGCACCTATCCTATAATATTTAACCTTTTTAAAATAATAAACCTTAAACCTCTTAAAAACGGAAAAATTTGAAAGTAGTTGAAAACTGTTTAGTCTTACGTCTTATCAGAGGTGTCACACCCGTACCTCTGGTATACAATGGTAAAACCCTCAGCGACAAGATTTATGAGATTTAGGTTGCTGGTCCCAAGCAACTGTTTAACAATCTCTTTAAATAGTTTCATTTTACTTGCGAGAGCAAGTGTCTTGTAATCGGAAACTAGACTTTGTTCCAGTAATTTTGCACATAACTGTTATTGCACTAACGGAACGTATTTCTTACAGCGTACAAGGTGATATGCTCGACTTCAAATAAAACAATCGTTTAGATATTTTTGGTTAGCAACTAGTTTTTCAATTATATTAAAGAACCTTTTTTCGAATTTGTGGTTTTCGTCTTAATTTCTGTCGACTTTGTTTTTTTTTCAAATATTTTTTATATAATATGGTACGCTTTTACAGGAATTTTTTCAATTCTTGGTTTTTAATCAATTTTTTCTATAATTGAAAATTGTTTTGTATGTAATAAATTTACCTACTCTGATTTTGATTAATGTTTTTCTTTTTTTTTTTGTTTAATTCGAAAAATTCATCTTTTCTTTGTTCTCTTCTCTTCTTTTATTCTCTGAACCTCTTGCGGGCTCATTCCTATTTGGCCTACGGGTAACGCCGTCGCCTCTGGATCCTAAGTTCTGGGGTTCGAGTCTCGACCGGACCTTGTTTTTTTCAGTATGTCTTCAATTGAATTTTTTTTGTTCAAGATGTGTTGTCGGATATTTGCTTGCCTGGGCTCAAGTGTTGTCGATTAGTTGCCACAGCACGGATTTTGCTTGTACTGAAGCATTTTTCATAGCAGTTGCTAATTGAAGTGTTGTGTGTTCTAATTTCAGGGGGATTTGAACGTTTGTCTGATCTTTTTTTTGTGGGCATCGTTGATACATTGCGGAATTGAGTTTTAATTTTTTCCGTTAGTTTTTAATTTTGGTCGTATTTTAGTACAAGGTTTATTCGGCTATAAGGGTTTCGGCCTGTTATATTGGCTTAAATAGTTTATATGTTGTTTGAACGGAAATTTTTTCTTTTATAAATTTTTGTTTTTCACGAGAAAGATGAGTATATTGTCTGATTTCGAAAGTTTGTGATGCCAAGTTGAGACTCAAATTTTATAGCAAGAAGAAGTGAGCAGATATTTAATTATCTTCGCAGATGTTTTTGGGTTTCATTCTAGTAAAAAGGATATTGGCCCTGTTGGATATCATCAACAAATGCAATTTTAGACCAGGGTGTTCCCTCCGTAATCACCTGGGGTTGGCAGCACCAGTCCTTGTCAAATTGTGGCTCTCCGTGTAACACGGTCTGTCTTGCGGCTATGTTCCTTGATATCCTTGTTCACAAAATCTAACTAAGTTTTTCTTGGTCTCCCTAATCTAACTAAAGGATGTGAATGACATTATAATGAACTTTTTGCTGAACGTAATGCGCTCAACGTGTCTAAATTATCCGAGGGGTCTGCTCCGAAAGACGTTAATAACGTCACAAGCCGAGTTTATCAAGAAGTGCGCCTGGTTTATGAATACCGTGCTTAACACTAGCGGATATCTAACGGATCATCGCACGGTCACCTCAGCAGAGTCGTTCTAGATCTGACACTCTGGGTCCCTCACAATTCAGTGCCGAGAAGTCTCGTTGATCAAACACAAAAGTACGCTTTTCAACGTGTTCTAAAGGAGAGTTGCCTGAAAGTTGGAACAGGAAGTAGCTTCGTGAAACTACCCCAGGACGTGCAACATCGGGCAGCACTTGCACTATCACAGCCTCCACCAGCGGTGAGCATGTCACCCAGGTTGCAAAAGGTTGGCGAAACATCCTACGGTGTGCGATCCACCTCTATCATATTCGATGGGCGACCATCGATAGGCCCGTCACTTAATTGCGCCGTAGCAAACATATTTTGGGTATTTGACTTTGTCAATTATCGTTATGTTTAATTGTTTTTGAACGCATGGCTGGCAATATTTTATATCAGGTGGTTCTTTTTTCTGAAAGTCATATAAATTGATCAGTAGCAAATTTTTCGTTCGTTTTGATTTGAAATTTGTCAAAAAAGCCATAAATAGCAAAAACGACGTTTTTGACAAAAATCTGTTTATGAATCCGGTGCCTGAAAGTTGGAACAGGGAGTAGCTTCGTGAAACTACCCCAGGACGTGCAACATCGGGCAGCACTTGCACTATCACAGCCTCCACCAGCGGTGAGCATGTCACCCAGGTTGCAAAAGGTTGGCGAAACATCCTACGGTGTGCGATCCACCTCTATCATATTCGATGGGCGACCATCGATAGGCCCGTCACTTAATTGCGCCGTAGCAAACATATTTTGGGTTGGCTACCAGCCGGTCTGATAGTCCGCAGCATCTTCTTATGATCATTTTCCTTAAAATTTGACTTTGTCAATCATCGTTATGTTTAATTGTTTTTGAACGCATGGCTGGCAATATTTTATATCAGGTGGTTCTTTTTCCTGAAAGTCATATAAATTGATCAGTAGCAAATTTTTCGTTCGTTTTGATTTGAAATTTGTCAAAAAAGCCATAAATAGCAAAAACGACGTTTTTGACAAAACTCTGTTTATGAATCCGGTACAGTAAATAATTTTAATAAATTAATGTTCAAAGATCCTCAGATTTACATTGTTTCTTCTATGGAATGAGGAACTTAATCTGTGAAAAACACTTGGTTTTATGTTTAGCATGGCTCTCTTTCTAATTTTTCCTTTTTTTTCCAAATAATTGGGTCATTTAAAATCGCAAATCAGTAGAAACAGTTCAACAGGAAGTTAATCATTCTCAAAGCCTTTCAAATGTTTTTGATGTCCACTTCTTATTATTATGTGCTCTGCTCTGCCAAAAGTAATCTACTGTCGTGGTATTGAAAATTTTTTTATGGGGTGAGTCTTGAATGCTTTGGGGGAGGATGTCAACTTGATCCATATTTTACACCTTAAATTTGGAATCCTCAGATTTGCACCTCAGATTAGGAAAAACTGGATATATGCATAATTGCTGCATGAAAGCCAGAGCAGAAAGCTGTTGAACACATATTTGGACAAATTCAAAAACAGAAAAAAATTAAATGAACGAGCTTAAGGCTGTTTTGGATTACCTTGCTTCTTTAAGATTATAATCTGTT